TCACTGTAATCGCAGACTTTCTTAGCAAAATGTCCGTAATCCAATGCCGAACGATCTGATCTAAAAAAAAATAAAGGATTGTAGAGAAATCGACTTCCAATAATTTAAGAAAACAATTATTAGAAGTTAACAGAAGAAGCTTACTTTTTGGCAAGATGCTGACTGGCACGGACCAATATGTGATTTCCATACCAATTGAAACCAGCTATCACAAATGATAGGACAAACGATACCTGAAAATCGCTAGTTTGATATTAGAGAACCGGTCGAAAATCATGAATATTCTGGAAAGAGCCTTAAACTAAGAGAACATTACAAAAATTACCCATAATCCTCCAAGTTTCCACGCGTATGGCAGAGAGAAACACCCAGCATTAAACATCGATTTAGATAATGTAAGTACTGCTCTAGTAGGGCTGAAACATAACATAACACCAACATTCTGCCATCTTTGTAAAATATTGGATGAGAGCATACGAAAAACATAATAGCAAAACCTACGAGATGACATCCCCACTTCGAGTAACTGGTGCTACCAGCGCTCGCGAATCATTCATTGATGCAGCATCGACATCGGCGATCACAGCATTACTGGCAGTACTACTACTATGTTCCCGCGCGGTGCGTTCTGCATCGTCCGACATCACCCAAAAACGTAAGCGACATATTTTATAGGGTAATATTTCGACGAATAAACGAGAATATTGGCTGCTGACCGTATCTTGGAGCACTACACAATAAGGTACAAAACTTTATTTGCACTTCGAGAATTCCATTGTTATAATCATTACACCTTATCATACTAGACTTTGATGATCATTTCACATGCATTTGTTTGCGTAGACCAGCGTGCCATCGACATAAGTTGCTAGCACATCGACGTTTTCCGTGATCAGCACTAGGTCTGCATCCATACCCATCGTGATAGCTCCCTTGTGATCTCGAATACCCATGAGTGTAGCTACAAGAAAAAAGTCCAAAAAATGACTACTGACTTTGACATAAAAACGCACCAGGTTTGTCCGTGGCACAAATCAATGCTTCTTCAAGAGGACATCGCGCCGCTTTGGCTAGATGCCTTATACAATACGGCATTGAGGCTACGCTAAAAAAAAAAATCAGAACCTCAAATCCTCTTTGTCACAAAACACGTTCAAACAGTTAACAAAGCATTGACTTTACTGACAACACACTCCAATAAATAAAAGGTATCAAGGAAAAAGTAACCACTAGAAGATAAGGAAAATTCAATACAGCCAAAAACAAATACCTTCCGGCAGTTGTGTTAGTTCCATCCAATACAGCGTTTAAACCATTAACATTTATAACACAGTCACCCAATCTATGAACACCATCGCCCATTCCTAATGCTGCTATGGCATCCGTTATTACAATTAGCCCCTCGGGATTTGTCCTAAAACCATTCATCAAAATAAACGAACATGAGATTAAATTTTTCCGTTAAAAAAAA